GAATGATTTTAAACAATCACGATTTTAATCTTGAAGATATTAAGGGGAGAGAATATATTACAAAGATCATCCTCTTCCTCTTTAATTTTCTCACAATCCCTTCCTATTTTCTTTTTCTTGTACCCAACATAACTCAAGTGACTAAGATTTTTTAGGGAAAGGAGACAAATACCTTTTAAAATATATGAGTCTAAATTTTTACTTTTTACTTTTTATTAATATTTTTTAAAATTAGATAACTATATTAGTCAAAAGAGCATTAATTAAGAGTAAGAGGTAAAAATCTATACTCATATCCTCAAGAGTAAGTTCAGTAATTTTCTCAATTTTTTTATTATATTAACCCAAAACTGAAGCTCGATTAAAAGATAATCTTGATAAATACCCCTTAAAAGTGCACGAGTTAGAATTTTTACTTTTTACTCTTGATTCATAACATTTTTAATCAAATAATTACACTAATAAAAAGTATTTATCAAAAATAAAGTATAAAAGTTTAGACTCATGTACTCTTAAAATTAAATTCTCAATTTTTTCTCCGTTAAAAAATAAAACCCAATTTGAGCTTGAGCCTTTCGCAAATCTAACGTATTAGGTTTTGGACCGGCTTATCGGCCCCATTTTTATTATCTCTCTTTTCGTGTGACTGTTCTTTATTTATTTATTTTTTGATGTTATTGTTAAACAGTAGTTCCCTAGAAAAGGGAAATAAACAGTAATTTGTCTGTCTTAATCAGCTCATTGGGGCTTGGTTAATCTGTTTGATTTTGCCAAGAATGCGGTCCATGTGTTACTTTGTCAATACCGTAGGCAAGTTCGCAGTTTTATCCAAATTCCAAATTATGACATGGGTGACTTCTTGGCTCTTTCCTTGCCCCCTCCCAACTAATGACAATTTCTCCGCAACCAAAGAAATGGACGAAAATTTTCAATTCTTTAGTTGCAAGAGCATCTAGGGACTGAAGAGGCAAGTCTTTGCTTGAACACTTGCCTTCACGACTCTTCTCTTGCAAACCCTCAGGGTAGATGCTAAGCATTTATGGGCTCTCAGAAGGAAACATCAAAAGTTGAGCTCCATCATACTGGGCCTTGGGGACCTAAAGCCTAATTATACGAGTTCATATTTACAAAACTGCCACCATGCTATGTTACGTACATGGGCAATGACTCCTATGACCTAGCTACATGGACACGACTCGGGACGGGAGCATTACGGTACATTACATGGACACTAAGACATGACTGTTTTCTGTAATTCCTATGAACAAAGGGGTTTTTTAATTAGGTAAGGAAGAAAAGAGAGAGAGAGTTCAAATCCCACAAAGCCACTGGGCTGAGAAAGAGACTTTTGTAGTAAAATTTCAATCCGCAAAAAAGAAAAAGGTTTAGAATTGAATGATTAGAGTACCCACTATGCGTTAAGAAATAGAAATTCTCTCGTTAACCCTATCATATCAGTCAATACCAAAGGAAATGCTTTTAGTCTTTGAGGAGTCACAGGAGGATGCTCTATAATAACTATTTCTTGGAGGCAAATTTGCAATAAGGCTTGGCTCTGAACCGGCGAACGGAATACGGGCGAGCCCTCTTACACATGTAAGGTTAGGATCCAAGGTAATTGAATTCGTCTCACTTCTGCACTCTTTGCTTGGTTTCATTGAAATACCTTCCCGTGCCCCTGTGTAGCAGTAGGCAAGAATGCTAATTAGTTTGGGGGTTCGATAGCTACTAACCCTCCCTCGGGTAGGATAGTCTTTCTGAAAGGGAAGGAAGTGTTGAGTCTTTTACACCATCTTCTGTATCCTGTGCCCCTGTGTAGCAGTAGGCAAGAATGCTAATTAGTTTGGGGGTTCGATAGCTACTAACCCTCCCTCGGGTAGGACAGTCTTTCTGAAAGGGAAGGAAGTGTTGAGTCTTTTACACCATCTTCTGTAGAATCCTCATCCGGGTAAGAAAATCAGTCTGTAAGGAAGCTCACTTCGATCCCTACTGCTTGAAGTTCAATCCCCTTAACAACAGGAAGTTTCACCTCCGGCGGGTATAGGATTACGATTCTACAACTACCAGCTTTTCTTTCGAAGCTCGTCGGAGATCTATTCCTCTTCCACTGCCTCAACAGGATCTCTAACTCTGATTCGTCTGATTCCAAGTCTGTTGAAATGTTGCAGAAGTCGATTGTGGAGTGTAACAAATCTAATTAGCTACGCAACAACGCAAGCAAATCAAGCCATTATCGCTCATGATTTGACTTTTGAAATTGAAAGGGAGTTTTAGAAACTCATCATGCGAATTATTCGTAGTGATCTCGTCTACTTCTAACTTTTACATTAGAACAATTTTAGTTTGTAGTAGAGGAGATATTAACAAAACAAGGATGACAATAGACCAATCAAACTTGGAACATTTCGTTTGAACTGATGACTAGCAGAAAAAGCATTATAATAGGATTGCAAATGGCAATCTCAAAGCAAGGGAGTAGCACTTCGGGAAAAAAAAAAAAAAAAACAAAAGCATTACGTTCAGTAGTTGTAATGACTAAAATGGAAGTATGGAAATTTAGAAGGATACAAATTGAGGTATCCACTTGTTGAGTCTAATTCGAAGAACTTGTTAGGTAAGGCAAAGAAGAGCAGGCAGTGAGGCCACAACCAAGTGATTAGAAAGCTCATTAGAAAATTGAAAAGAAGATAAGCAAATATTAACCGGTAACCTCACCCCGCCTAGAATCTTTTAATTTTTAAGTCGCCTGGGCAAGGTCAATGAAGCATTGAGCACCAGCACTACCATAAAAAAGATTTCCACTCAGAAACTTCCGCTTTAGCCAACTTTTCCAACAATAAAAAAGGTTAAGGTAGGAGTACAAGGCACTCCTGCAGAAACGACAGTTCTAGAGCGAAGTTCATAAAGCAGACAAGCGGCACATGTGTAATATTAGTATGTATAAGCCCAGTCTCATGTGGTTAATTTTAGTGGGATTGAAAAAAAAAATGCAGATAAAACTTCACCTCCTTTATTTTTATTTTTTTTATTATTTTTTTTCAGCCGTTGGCTAAACACCCAAAAAGTGACGGCTACTGTGATACTCAGCGCTCAAAGTACTTTTTTTTCGAAATTTCCGTTGAGAGGAAACAACAAAAGGAAAAGTACTTTAAAAGATACGAGACAACTCGAGGTTTAACTAAAACAATGACAGAACAGCAATAGATAAGCGACTCAGTAACTAAACATGCATTGGTAGGCCCTGACAGCAGGGCTGAAGTATTCAAAAGAAAATAATGGCAGGGTACTTAATGAAACTATCATGGAGGCAATGATAACAGTTAAGAAGTCAACTCACAATGACGAGCCAGTCTAGATTCCTATCTCACCTACACAATATCCAATGGCATAGGATTCCAAAGCACTCATTCATGATCAATATTCCGACAAAGTTTTTCAAGTTAGACTATGATTACCAAAAACGTGTCAGATAAAAATGCCTATTCACGCCTATAATAAATCCCGCCACAAACTAAACCTATCCTATTCCATACACCCGGAGGCTTATGCTCAACATGAGAAGACAAACTCTCATCCATCTTCTCTTAGCATGCCTCCTTCTCACGGCAACTCGATGGCATTGTTCAACCATTATTGTTCAAGCTACTGAATCAGGCAAGCTACTTTTCATCTTCTGTTTTTCTTCATGGCGTGTAAAAAGATCAGACATTTCAATATATGTACTTTCTACCATTTTATACTAAAATGCAGAGACAAAGAAAGTTCTAAATGGTTTTTAACAATTTCTAACGTAAATTACCTGCCTCAATTGCTGGCAACAGTTCACCTCAGGTCCAAACCTGCACAACCAAACTCAAGGTCTGGCAGAAGATTTGCTTTTCCTGCTTGGGTAAGTAAAAGGGGAGTCTCTTCCAAAGAAAAGTTAGTATTATAAAAAATCTTTATTTATAGGCTTTAACTCTTCCTATCTCTTATCAACAATGGAGACAGGTTGATGGAAAGAAGGTTCATAAAAAGCCATCAGGACCCAACCCAGTTGGGAATCACCGGCCACCATCTAGGCAATGAACAATTGATGGATGCACTTGGTAGACAAGAAGGCATAGGACAAAAAGTCACTATTTTCCTTGAGAGTTAAAAGTACGTCAGATGTATTTATTTAGGCTGAAAAATCTGTCCTTTAGTACTGCGATTGTACAAAGTTGGAATTCAATTGACGGTTTTATTCCTAGAATTTTCTATCAAAAGTAATTTGTCAGTTTCAAAGGTCAATGTTACAAATGTCCAGCTACTATAAAATCAACTCAAGCCAAAACATGACACAAAATACAAGACTAGCAGCGTTTCTATGTACTGCAGCTGAGTCAACTGCCAAAGGGCGAAGAATTCTTTGAGTTGTTTCATTTTTTTTTGAAACACATACGAAACATGCTTCGATTTCACAATTAACCTCTTAGGGCCCGTTTAGAAGGTATACTCAAGCCATGATTCTTGATTCTGACGTTTGTGTGAGCATATGAAACAAACGGGCCCTTAGTGTTTCAGCAAAAATTAACCTCTTAGTGGACGGGACAAAATTCAAACAGACTCGTTGCTACTTTCACCTGGGTTATAGACAAGCAGATTTCTGAAGGTCCAGATCCAAAAAAAAAAAAAAAAAAAAACGCATTAAGCACCTAGAATTCCAGATGGACAGAGTAACCAAACCCTACGGATTTTGTGTTCAGTTCTTTCGTACCACATTTTCCTATGTTATCTAATATAACAGTTAAACAACTTAGGAACTTCATACAATATAGTCCACCAGTAACAAAATAACAACTATGCATTATGATATCCTCAAAGAATGAGAATTCCAACGAAGAAGACAAGCAGCATACGTTGGTCACTTGCATCATGTTTTTGTGGTTTTCCATGCTGGAAAGAAAATCCTTTTCTCATAATTTTTCAGAATGATATTCTTTTCCAATAGGGTTTATGGTGACAGATTGAACATAATATAGAGAACTGTCACGAGATACTTCAAATATATAGTGGAATTTGCAAGTGATATAAATTATTAATTTGCATGATTAGCGTTATATCTCAAAATGAATGAGCCAACACAAAACTGGCCTCTACATATAAGAAATTTTGTTTTCTGAGATATACAGGACTCACCGTAAACTACAAACATCAGGATACAATCTTCCTTTTATACATCACTCTTCCTTTTATACAGCACGCTTCCGTTTGGATCGCTTGCTTCTCCTTGGCCGAGAAAAATCAGGAGCATCTTTTCTAACATTAGAAGCATAGGCCTCTTCTCGGACCTGCCCACCCTGTGATAACATCAAATTAGTTCTCCAAACTGCAAACTTGAAACAAACTCTACATGCAAATTTTTTGAAACATTGAAATGGTTAGTTCGATAGTTTGACAGTCAAAGAATCAGAATAGTTAAACAGCAAAATGCACGGATATTATCTAAACCCAAGAGAGGAATGAACCATGTCCCATATTTCTCATTCTTCAACCACAAAACTTGATTATTTAAGCGTGTATAACTGTGTTGTCAGTCCAAACCTATACTAAAGAGGAAGCCATTCTCACAGTGTATTAACATTGTACAGATAAAACCTCTTCTATGTATTACATATACAGGATGAGCTTTAACTACTGATGGACCAAACGAAGCTTTCCTGTTAGTATGGTGAGCTGGTTAAATAAATAAGAATCAGAAAATGGCTCTCTTCATTCAATGGTGGATGAGATGTGTTTAAGAACATGCATCTAAGTTGTGCACGTGCATGCACATGAAATGACACATCTTGGCAATTTGATCAGAACTCAAAGACTTGTTTAATCCAGTCACCACCGAATTGGAAATTGAGATACTGGAGTGGTCAGTATCTGGTTAGTTTAGCTAAATCCAGTCAGTCAAAGATGGTGGTTGTATTCTCTCAACAGTCGTTTACATCAAAGGTTTATCAACGTAGTTCAGAAGATACATAAATAAAAATAGACAAGGACTGTCGCTGCACCATGAAAAAATCCAAAGGCTCGGGACACTCGGTCCATTAGGGTTCCACAAGCATTTCCTCTTTAAGATTGAAAGGATCAGACTCGTGTAAATGTCTCTAGTATGAGTATCTTGTTTTTTTTTTTTGAGGACGAAGTACATGATAACTGTAGAAAAGGGTGTTTTCTTTTGTACACCACAACTATCACAATTCACACAAACTAAGAAATCAGAATACATTTATATTCCCTATAGGATCAAATTCCCCACATTCAAAATAGACCTAAATAGATAACTAATGACTTAGGAAGACATAAAACACTTATATAACCTTAATAAGAGAAACTGAACACTTGGAAAGAAAAATCCGACAAACTATAACATAATAAATGCCAAAAATTCAATTTGACCTTGTTGTTGTAGGGACATATATAACACATGTACACTTTAATAAGAGAAACTGAACATTTAGAAAGAAAAAGCCGTCAAGCTATAGCAAAACAAATGCCAAAAGATTTAATTTTACCTTGTTGTTGTCCTCTTCATCTGAACCATCTTCAGAATCATAATCAGAAGCTGAGGCTTGAACCTCTTCCGCTGGTAAAGCCTTGGCTGCCTTTTTGTTCTTCTCTTCTTCTTTTAGCTGCCTAAATCTGTTAATTACACCCTTTTTGAGTAAGGCACTTTTGCAGGAGTAGATAATATTGAATGCAGCGTGTTAACTAGTAAACCAACCTTTCACCGCGCTCTGGCTGAGAACCTGACCGTTTTGCACGTCCTGCTGTTATGATTCCATTTGCATTATCACTGACAGCAGGCTTTGCACCTCCTAATTTGCGCAGCCATACCTGTTGTGCAGTGCTGAGGACGTTGTTTGTGAACCTAAAGACCATATGATAATTTTAATGAATCAAGTAAAGAAGGGTTGCTACGTGTATACATCTCTGTTGGTTGTGCTTGTATCTGTTTAAATTAAGGTCCATGATAAATTGCTAATTGCTTACAAGGAAAAAGTAATCTGCATGCCTGGAAAAGGCCTAAGAATAAATCTAAAAATCAAGAAACACAACAGACAAATCAATGTGTGATAATTTTTGTAATAAAAATATGCTTGAGCTACTCCTCAAATTCTAATTTCACCTAAAAACAAAAATCCTTAGCCATGAACTTTTCATTCTGGAAGCCCTAATAAACAAACGTACTAACTTCCTGTCTTTCCTATAACATAACAGCAGCATCTTTATAAAATTTACAATGCGTACTGCAGATAGTATATTTGAAGGCATTGCAAGATTTTCTTTTCAATACATTAGCATCTTACACATGTAGAAACATTATCACACAAAATTTGAGATTTGAAAGCTAAAAGCAACAAGCACCAAAGAATGCAAAGTAGGGAGTAAGTTCTGATGACAACTGCATGGTTACTCATGAGAAAGTGAAATTTACAGAGAAAATTCATATGTATAGAATTGCAATCATAGTGGCATTTATCTTGGGAAATGAGGATGCAAGTACGAGTCCATTTCAGATAATGGTGTAGATAATGTCATTGGAAACACTTCTGAGGGCGGAAAAAAAGCTAAAATTCTTGTTATCTATTAGTTTTAAAGATTTGTTGGCTGCTCAAATCTCACGTTTGATAAAGCTCAGGAGTTTAGAACATTCAAATGGAAGGAGACCCTTGCTGACAAGTTCCTTTTGGCATCTCATTAAAAAAAAAAAAGCCAATTACTACGTGTGCTCTTTCATATCATGGATGCTCGAATAGATTGATTCAAGTGGAACTGTTTAGAGAGACCAACCAGTATATCGATAATCCTGAGGGTACAGACAAGGAGAAGTAACCAATCATGAGTGGAAGAAACTTGAATACAAGAAGAGTGTTCTTTTGAGATGGATCATCAGTCTGCCAAAAGAAAGATTGAGGTTACAAGGATTAAGAAGGAATATAGAACAAGAAAACAGAGAATCTAATGGTCATTGGAAATATTTGTCCTTACCTGGGGAGGCTTCATGATCTCCATTGAAACGTACTGAGAAATAACAAGGAGGACTGGTAAAACAAGGTATGCGGCAGTGTCATTCCAACCAAGTGGTGGATGCCCATCCTGCATGAAATATATAAACTTGTTATACATACATAGTTACCCACCAAACTATATGTAAGTTCCTAATGCAAATTCTACCAGCTACACATTAATCCAACCACATCTTGGACATGCTTACCTGCTTACAACATGCATTAAATGATCCATACAAAAGAAGTGTAACGCATGAAACTGTAAAAACAGAGTTACAACTTCAAACTTCACCAACATCTATCTATCTTCTTTTAGTTACTAACACAAAAGTGTCATTAAAACTTAACTGCTAAACCTAAACCCTTATTTAAATCATGGAGATTCAAGCTACATTTCTAAGGGTACTTGATGATGAATAAAATTTAGAATTAGTTTTAATATTTTAGTTTGATGCTAGGATTATGTTTATCTATTTTATTATTTCCAAATTTAATTATGTTCATTCTCTATAAATACCTCAGTGATTGTCAATTTTATTCAGTCGATCAATGAATATATTGACTTTCTCATTCTTCCTCTTGAGTTCTTATTCTCCTTCTATTTCTATCTCCCTCTGGTTCTATTTCTCCCTTGATTCTGTTCTTCTCTCTTATATTCTCCATCTATTCTCTAATTCTACCCCGGTCCTACATTAAGTACTTCAATTGGAAACACAAACAGTTGCATTTTTAAAGATGAAAAAACAAAAATTTCAGCTTTAAGCAAAAACCAAACATAAAGACCGGCTATCCCACAGATGGAGTTGACGTAAATAAAGGGGAATTCAGTTTTTTTCTTTCTACATAAGTAACACTGCAGTTCTGAGATCATTGTCCTTGGTTTGTAGAATTACAACTTAGCAACAAATAGAAGGAAGAAAACAGATATACTGCATCATTTGATGCCCAGGAATCTAATTGGTGCACTATGGTTCCACAATCACTTTCTTGCTTCATAAGTAACACTGCGGTTCTGAGATCATTGTCTAGCTTAAAGCTTCCACTATTAGCAAAGCAAGTCATATAAAGGATGCTTGAGAAGAACAAACATTCAACATAGAAAATTATTAATGGTTAGCTTCTTGATCATGGAAACGTGAGATTTCTTACCACAAACGGAAGCAGCCAAGAAATGCCGGATCCACTTTGTCTAGCAGCTATTGTTGTTGGGCCACCCAAGGAGGGGATCCAAAAGAAACCTTCTGTCAACAGTCCCTTTTGAAACGTAGAGAGAGAGAGAGAGAAGAAAAAAGAAGAAGATAAAATTTGCAAAGATCACCAATTTTTAATCTGCTGCACATAAATAACCTGTATTTTAATATCACTTGAAATGCTAGCATAGCAACCTATCAATTACCTCATTGGCCACATTTGAAAGAGCTTGATATAGACCAATCCAGACTGGTATTGTCGCCAAAGTTGGCAAGCAACCTACACATAAATGAGTGGATAGTTGGTATTCTTTGGGAACCTAAGTTAGCGTTCACATTTTGGAAAATGCTACGAGTTTTAAAAAGGTGCTAAAATGACTGAAAAACTTCATGTGGAAACAGAGACAAACAAGAACCAGTTATGATTTTGTATCTTAATAACTGTAGCCCCAGCGCAAGGTTATGGAAACACGAAGGTTGACCTAGCTACGACTACAAACTAGGGCCTCGTTCATTTCACCGATTTGAGTTTTTAGTTTTAGGTTTCTACAGTAAAAAGCTCTTAGAAAATGTCACATTTAACTTTTTCTGCTACAGTGAAAAGCTCTCAGAAAATGTCACATCTCAGCTTAAATTGAAAATTCGAATCCGCGAAGTGAACGAGACCTAGGTATATCACTTGGTTTGACCCAAGAAAATCGTACAACACAATGATTGGCGCGATTCAACCTCTCCATTCCCACAAGTAAGGATACTGCACACTTTTTTTTGCGAGAAACACAAATTATAGTGGCTCTCTCAACAACCATGAAACCCAGCCCCCAATACACCTAGCCATGCTAGTACTCTTTCACTGGGGCTTTCTCCATCAACATAGGCCTAAAATGAACTACACATAAGCAGGGCATAGAAAAAAGAAAAAAAAAAGAAAAGAAAAGAAAAAAAAATCAGAGCTAATCATCATGCAAAAACATGGGAGCGTACAGATATTCACCAACATCAAAAGCAATCAAAATAAGGAATACCTGCTAATGGGTTAACCCCAGCTTGCCTATACAGCCGTGATGTTTCAAGTTGTATTCTTTCCTTAAATGAGGGGGAAAAAAAAAACGAGATAAGAGGGACCATAGTTATCATTTGACAAGAAAAGGGGTAATGGGTCCATTTACTCGATCTCAATAAGTTCGTTCAAATCCAGACACACAAGGATAAAACCTCACTTGATTGCCTTTGTATCTTTCTTGAATGGCTTTAATTTTTGGTTGGAGGTTTTGCATTGCCAACGTCGATTCCACCTACAAGTTACCAAACGGTATTATTATATACTAAAGAGGAGCGTGAAACAATCAGGAAACTAAAAGCACTGCCAAAGGAACCATCTTTTTTTTAGCAAATGTGGCACTAAACACCAACCTGTTTCTTTGTTAGAGGAAGTGTGGCGACTTTAACAATAACAGTGAGCAATATAATCGCAAATCCGTAAGCATATGGCACGTGTACAGCCGAAAGTCCATCCTTCAAAATCTGATACAGTTCAATTCAAACACTACCATCAACGGCCGGCACGTTTATCTAGGCCCATACACGAGCACACGAACTATTATAAAAGCAAAAATCAAACGCAACAGAGCCTATAGAAATGAACCAGAAATCCTCAACTTCAATTTTTCAATCAACTCAAGTTCGTATTCTTTTATAAAATTTGAGTTTAAACTTAGACTAAATTCGAGTTTAAATTTCTCTTTCAATTAAAATTTATAAACTCCAACTTAAATTAATAAATGATATTTTTTTTATTCAAAATGACATAATTCATTTTAATTATAATTAAGATGATTTTTTTTATGCATTCACAATAAAAACATAAATAAAATTCCATCCATTTACTTTAAATCATAACTTAAATATGCATGTATAAACACAAATTTATAACTTAAATTCAAATTAAAATTAAAATTCAACTCAAAATCATCATTTAATAACTAAAAAATGCAAAAAAATAACCCATTGTCACGAAAATAAACACTTCAAACAACAGCAAAAGCTTCAAATCCACGAGAAAAGAAAGTCGAATTACCTTGAGGACGAATTCCATGGCTTCCGATATGAAACCAAACCAGCCACCGTTTTTCTGGGCGGCGGCAGTGGCGGCGTCTGTGGAGCCACCGGAGGCCACGTCAGCCGAGACGGCGGCGTCGGCGAGAGTGTAGAGCAGGCTTTCGGCGCGGCTAGCAATAGCGTTGAAATCAATAGCGGAGTCGAGGGAATGAATGGGAGGAATCTCGTGGAGGCTGACTCTGACCCTGGAAGTTAGGAGCTTGCGGTTCGGGAGGTAAGGCCCGTGGCGGAAGAGGGACCGCAGGGGCGCGCCGACGAACGGCGGCGACGACGAGATTAGGATTTTCGCCATCGACGAGAGATAGAGAGAAAAAGAAAGAGAGAGATAATTGGGATGAGAGAGAGAGAGAGAGAGAGAGAGAGAGAGAGAGAGAGAGAGAGAGAGAGAGAGGGAGAGAGAGTTGCGAGTCTCAGTGTCTCATGAGGCTCAGCTCAGCGAGTGGTGGAGAAGTGGAAGACGCAGAAGTAAGGGAGAGAGACAGACGAGGATGCGAATATTATTTTTTTTTTCCTCCGAATTATCCGTATTTTTCTTATTATGAGGTGGCGCAAATAATTGCACGGATTAGGTGCGGTAATGTGGGAAAACTTTTGACCAATGGCTGAGTTCCACATCACAAATCTTAGACGGAAGATGCGTGACTTGACTGAAACGCCCCTGAAATGTTCGTTTCATGGGTTGTTAAGCTGAAATTTCCAACCAAAAGAAAAACGACAAATCGTTGCCAATTCCGTATGTACTTTTTTTTCCCCCTAATAAAATGAATTGACCATTTTATGACACGTGTCAGTTAAGATGGGAAGAAAACTCTGGAACAGCCTCGACAAAAGAAGGCGCGACCAATTAAAAGAAGCATGTTCAATGAGGTGTTCAAAAATCTGGATCCAACGGCTCCAACACGCCAAAGGAAGAAGATTCCAGACATTTTACAGTGCCTATATAAATCCCAACACCCTCTGTCAGTTTCTCAAATCGTCTAAGTAATCAACACGTACAGAAAAGAACTATTTACTCTCTTTCCC